TGTCCTGACAGGACACTGAGCGGTGAGCGGGCCCGAGAGCGATCCCCTGACTGGGATTGGCATTGGGTCGGTGTTGACTGTTGAGAGCCCAGCGGTGGCAACAGAGTCGACACAACCGGGCTGCTCCGCTCAACCTCAGTCGGAGCTCTAGAGCCCGGGGGGGAGGAGAGGGGAGGGGAAACTGGGGCTGCCTGACGTGGATCTAGCCTCACCCCTTGCTCTCTCTCTCAACGCCTTTGAGAGGACAGGGCCTTTCTCTGCTTCTTGGACGGGGAGCGGTGCCGGCCATTGGAAGGTGCCGGGAGATCGCTGCGCACTGAAGACGAAGTGCCCGGTGCCGATTCTGCTCGGTGCACCAGGGTTGGGGCCAGTGCTGACTCCATGAGCAGGGCCCGAAGTCTAATGTCTATCTCTTTTTTAGTTCTGGGTTTAAAGGACCTGCAGATTTTACAGCGGTCGCTGATGTGAGATTCGCCCAAGCAGCGGAGACAGTCGGCGTGCGGGTCACTTCTAGGCATCGAACACCTGCAAGACTTGCACGATCTAAACCCTGGGGCCCGGAGCATGCCCCGGCCCGAACACTAACTAACTAAGCTGAAACTTTATTGACCTAATACACACAGGTACTAACAACAACGAAACGAGTTCTGGGACGAGCTGCAGCAAAGCTGGAGCAAGTAGTTCCGATGCACCGTCACTGGCGGCAAGAAGGAACTGAGGGTGGGGGGAGCACACAGCTCCCCTTATAGTGTGCTATAGAGGCGCCACTCCAGGGGTCGCAGCAGCGCTCCCCCTACGGGTACTGCTGAGGGAAAAACTTCCGGCACCAGTGCACGTGGCGAGCACGCACACCTACTGTGGAATACACATGAGCAAGCACTCGAAGAAGAAACCAAAGGAATGGAGCCAAGACATTCTACGCATAACTATGGCGGTAGCCATGGCCCTGCAAGAGGTATCTGCTGCATCTACCCCCGACTGGAGGGCTATTCTGGCTATCAGCTTCCCTTCCTCAATAAGTGTCTGAAAGTGAGCCCAATCGTGTTGTGGCAGGCTATCAGTAAATTCCTGGAACTTGCTGTAATTCAGGAAATCGCACTTGACTAGTAATGCCTGAGAGTTCAAAATACAGAATTAAAGGCTGGCTAAGGAAAACACCTTGCGTCCCAAAAGGACCAAATGTTTGCCCTCATCATCAGGCGTAGATTGAAGGTGCTGTTGCTTGGCTTGTGCAGTCGTTGCCTGGACAACTAGGGTGTTTGGAGGAGAATGCAAAAAATAAAAAATAAAAGGGGGGGGGGTCTCAGACCCCTTAGCAAGAAGGTAATGCTTTTTGGCCCCTCTGGGGTAGCCATACATGTGGGAGGGGTGTGCCACATGGTCCTGGCAGGCTCCAGAATAGCTTCAGTAATAGGAAGTGCAATTGTGGCTGGTCCCGGGGTCCTAGATTTCTTCCAGCGGAAACTGGAGTTCCCTTGAGAATCTCTGCAACAGTTCCTTGAAATTGCCTGAAGTCATCCAGAGGCGAAGGGGATGCTGCAGTCACTGCTTCATCTGGAGACGAAGAGGGAAAGCTTACCAATTCTTGCAGCACCGCTGGGACCAGACTGAGGTGTTCCTCCTCTACCAACAGATCTAAGAGTCTGCTAGAAGGAGCCTTTAAGCAGGAGGCAGGCAAAATGTTCCGTGGACCAGGCTGGTTCCAAAGGGGGGGGGGGGGGGAGAGAGAGAGAGAAGAGAGGGAATTGGGACCAGGTCCCCAGTATAGCCAATAGGCCAGATCTGAGGAAGGTTGTGGTGGCCCCCACGGTACCAATGGCTCTGAGGCCGTTGAAATGGTGGATGCTGCCATGGATGTAGCAGTCTCTGTGAAGACATGAAGGGGTGATAGGACATAGCTGGTTCCTCTCCTGGTTCCGATTCTTCAGAGGAGGAGAAGGCAGACTGGTTCAAATGGTGGTACCGTCCGAACCGGCGGAAGGGTGTAGACCATCGGAGCAGATGGTGAGAGGACCTGTACTGGGGACATATCCTGAGGTGGAGAAATCCTCTCTCTAAAGATGGAAGGGCTGGCTGGCTGGGGTGACTTTGGGTCCGGCAAGGCGAACATGTCCTGGGGTTCAGGTACAATTCTGGATCTCCCTGGTGTCACAGGCACCCTTTCCCTGGGCTCGTATCAGTGCCGGTGGCATGGACATTCCCAGAACAGGAGGATTCCATGTCTTGTCTAGGGTTGGTGATGATGGTACTGTTGGACAGGTGCTTGGAAGTACCAGATTCTTCTCATGCCTATGGGACTTAGTGAGAGTTCCATCCCCAGGGCTCGAACTCATGGAAGGAGCATCCACTTTCTTTGGCTTTGAGGAAGACTTAGTACCATGCGTATGGGTATGCTTCCTTACCTCCCAGTTAGACCCCGCCACAGGGTTTGTGGGGGTGGTTCTGCCGGTACTGGCTTTGGATGTGGTAATGGGAGGTGTGCGTTCCTCGCTGATTCAGGCTGATACACAGGAGGAATTTCTCTGCCTGGATCCGAGTGAGGCCTCATGGCGAGCTCCATGTGGTGCTTTTGGAAGCAGAGGATCTGGTCTTTTTTGGTGTGGCTGGGAAAGGATTGGCAAATACTGCACCTGGATGTGATGTGAGCTTCCCCCAAGCAGTAGAGACAGTATTGGGTTCATCACTGATGGAGAAGCAGCACGTGCAGGAGGCGCAGAGTTTGAAGCCCAGAATTCTGGGCATAGTCCAGTACCTGCACACGGGTACTGGGTGGTGTGTTGGATGAAGGAAAAAAACAAGCCCCAATCTTATCTTAACTAAATGCTAAAACTGCAATAAAAACCTGTAATAAACTACCATAAAACTGGGTAAAACTATGTACAACTATCTTAATTAAAGATGCACCAGAGAGGAGGACACTGAAAGTTCCGACCTGAACCATGCGGCAGTGAGAAGAACTGGAGATGCGGTTGGTCAGCCCCTCCCTTTAACACCTTGGATGAAGCACAAGATGATCCAGGGCGCATGAAAGGACCAACAGACACTACTTTCAAATTCTCCAACTCTGGGCACATGGTGCGCATGGGCTTAACCCCTCAGTGGAACACAAATAGGGACCATTACTTGAAGAAGGTGATATTACCATCTGAAAGCTGTTCACAGTGGCATGTACGAAATGAGTTGGTAGTCTCACTTTACAGCTCCTGGTTCCCGTATTGTCAAAACCACCACATCTGTGCCTGCCATTTGTGGTCAGAAGTGTAGGGCTGAATGGGTCACAGAGACTGAGCTCCCTTCCCACGCATAGGGAGTCCCCTCTGCATCCCAGTGACACAGGTGGGAGATGCTTGCCCTGCTGTGCCCAGGCTGTTCCTGATCTGCAGATAGAAGCCATCAGTCCTTACAGCTCTCAGCCAGGCCAAACTCTCTTGTAAAATGACTTTCACATTCAAAAATTGGGCCCAAACCTACATGAAGCAGTGAGGCTAATGGTGCCCCCCCCCCCCCCAGACACTTGCATACTCTGTAAACCAAGAGCTTTCAGGGGAAGCTGAACTAATTACTATAGGGATTGATCCTTGAACTGGGACTCCAAGAATATTCCAGCACTTATATAAATATGAGCTAAGATACACTGATGGCAATGTCATTCTTTAGCTCCCAAGCAGCCATTGCACCCGAATAAACGGTATCTCACAGCACTGGTGCACCCAGAGCTCAACGTCTCAAAACACTTCACAAACAACCTTTCCCCCTGCAATGGGAGGGCAGGTATCATCTCATCATTTTAGAAATGGGGACACAGAGGCTCAAAGGTGAAAGCTGTTGCCCACTGAGCCTCATGTTTGTTTCCCCAGATCCCAAGCTGTGACCAGATGTGCCTAATTAATGGTATTTTAAGTCTTGTTATAGCCAGGTTGGCCCCAGCATATGAGGGGTAATATATTTTATTGGACCAACTTCTGCTGGTGGAAGGTACAAGCTTTCAAGCTTCACAGAGCTCTTCTCCATGTCTGGGGAAGGAAGAAGTCTGATTTCCTTCTCCAGACCTGAAAAGAGCTCTGTGAAGCTTAAATGCTTGTACCTTCCACCAACAGAAGCTGGTTCAATAAAAGCTATTACCTCACCTACCGTGTCTCGGTGTATTTTAGAATAGCTCTGTGCTTACTGGCTCTATGGCACACAGAGTTGCTCTACCCTTGCAGGAGGCCAGGACAGCCCCCTGCTGGTAGTAGGATGCATCCACTGCATCCATTTTCTGCACCCAAAACAAACAGCATATTTCGTTAACTCAGGCAACTGAAATGGTTACCAGTGGTGAGAGGGAAACATGAACACCCTTCCCATATGATGTGAAGAGCAAGGCCCAGGAATGGACCCATGCATATTTCCCAAGTAATCAGACACCAGGCACATCTCCCATGGCCCAGTGCAGGACTGCACACCAGTGTCTATTTGTTCAGTACAGTTAAAGGACTTTCCACCTTTTCCTTTATGTCTTTAAGTGACCTAGCAGTAGATCACACTGCGAGTGAGCTTTGACTTTTGCTGCTATTCAGTCGGTATTTTATTTTGCATCCAGAATATTGAGTACTAATCCCCATAGCTCAGAAACCATTGCAGGGCACAGCATCAGGGAGAGAGAGAGCACTAAAACTAGTTTACTCTGGTGAGCCTCACCCTGGCGTGAAGGGACAGGTCTGCTCAATCTGGGATAAGACATGAGGCCAAGTCCACTTCGAGGCACCCCAACCTGTGTCCTAAGCAGAAGAGGATGGGGGACCTAGCTGAGTAGATCAAACTGTTAGAGAAGGGCCAACTTTGGCCTAGAATTTTTAAGAGCTTTACACTGAGTTCAGCCTCTCCTAGTAGCTTAGAGTTCCTGTGCTCCATTCGCACAAAGAATATAGACCAAATGCTGGAGGGTAGGCAGGTCAGACCAGGCCACTAAACAACCCCTTCCCCCAAACCGACTGCATCAAGGTGTGGTGAACTGTTACCTTTTTAGGGGCGACGGGTGTTTTCAGTTCCTGTTTTTGTCTGTCTTTGTCCTGTACTCCAGGTGGCGGCACATTCTGCTCAGGGGGTCTGATTACAGGCCGCCCACCCTCCATTGGTTTCATTTCTGTTCCTGAAACACACACACGCACACACACCACAGTAAGGGCAAAAGACCATTCCTGCAGGCTGCCAGGGTGTCTGAGTTTCCTAGAGCATTTAGGGAGTGATCCTGTCCCTTCCTTCCCCACTGTCGAGGGAAGGCCAATAGACTAAGGTGTAGACTCTCAGGCTTTCACCATGATGAGCAGTCCATTTCTCCATCTCAGCCTTCAAAGGGAATCAGACTAGCCCATGTTACACCCAAAATACACATTTCAACACTAACAGCGCAGGGGCTCCAACTCACTTTGCTGGATATGTGCAGGGGGTTTGATGCTCTCTGGGTGCTTGGGAGGTTCCTGTCGCAACGTGGGGCTGAATGTTTCGTTTCGGATGACTGGTGAATGCATCTTCTCTTCCTTTGCCGCCATGGGCTGGGATTGTACGACAGCGGGTGCTCTCAGCTCCTGCCATGTTAGCACATTGAGATGGGTCAGTCACTATCCAAACACCTTCCTTGATGTAAGTCCATCCCACATCCACAGAGCGAGTAACATCCTGAACAATCCACCACGAGGGTCCCACAATGGGGCTGGCCTAGCCTCTAATGCATGCTCATGGAGTGTGCACCATTGTGAGCATGTGCCCAAGCTACCCACACAGGTTGGGAACCCTGTGCTTTGAGAGCAGGCCCTTTGGGACCCCACATTCAGGCTATGCCTTCCTTTACCTGTTTTTTCGGCTGGATATTTTGCTGAGGTGGTGACTGGTGGCCCAGACCCTGGAACTGGGGCATCTGTGGGGAATGCATCATGAGAGGGGAAGGCGCTTCCCTCAAGTGACCTGGAACAATTCAGCACCAGTCAGTTAACCTGTCATCACTATCGCTTATCCAAACATTAACCAAGGTGAGAACTCGTCCTTGAGTCAGATCGAGCAGCACGCCGGTTGAGTTTAACCCAGGCACACCTTACAAATATAGGAAGACTCCACACCAGTTTGGCAGTTTCCGTAGTCTAGTCCTACCCCTCAGTACTTCCAGGTGTCACATGGGCTGCACTGCTACACAGCATGCACTAATTTAGAAGCAACTTTAGGACTCTGTCACTCAGATCAGCACACAAACAGCCATACACTTAATTGCATCTATTTATTGTTCTCCATAAGCCTGCCAGACTTGCATGGAGTGGTATTCAGATAGGGGGAACCTCCCACCAGCCTTCTTACTGTCCGGTGTCAGGCCAGTGCCATGGTTGTCACAGGCACATTCACAATGCACAGGGGCTGTAGGTGACTGGGCAGTGGCAAGTGAAAAGGATTTTGTTGGATTGCCCTTTGGATTTGGCCATGAAGCCTATGGACTTCATCCTGAGGAATGGAAAAACTCCATCCAAAACACATTCATATTTTAAAGAATTTGTAAGCTCCCCTGTGCAATTTCTTCCACTGAATCACTGAACATTTGAGAATCACTGAACATTTACTATTCTAAAACTCTCCCCTTACATTTCTATGCCCCCAGTCTCTCTCAAGACCTCTGTTCAGGAATCACACATGCACTTTAGGGCACAGAGAACTGAGGGAGCACCTGGGGACATCCATTTCATTTGCTGTTCACTGAAATTTATAAGGGAAGCGAGCTTTCCTTTTTCAAGCTCTGGTTGGACTCAGCCAACACACTAAGGCACTAGAGAGGTGCTCAGGAGATTGTCTTATGGGTGGGGGGCAACTGAATTTCACTTGTCTGCACCCTTTTTTATTTGTCTGCCCTCTATTGTTATCTCTCCCTGGCTTGTAACAGCTCACAGAAATCCTATATGATGATTTATGGCAGGAATGGAAGAATCCTGCATTCATTTGAAACTACAGGTGGGGGGGGGGGGGGGGGGAAGAGGGGGGGGGGGGGGGCATTGAAAGAGGCAGGATGTGGTAATTCCAATTAGAATTTAACCAAGGCACCATGACAAACACCCCTAACTAGAGATCTTTAATGAACCAAAGTGAGCCTCAGTTTTACATTTAATTGGAAAGACAGGACTCCAGCAGCACCCTGCTGGGGGCACCAGCCTGGTGCTAAAGAGAACCACCTCCTGATTCGCTAAATGACCTGTAACACTTTTTGCAATGCCTGGGTTTTTCGTGGAGGCCTCTCCTCTCCCATCGAAATCCTGCTCAACCCATTGACATCTGAGAAGGTCACAGCCCAAAGTATGATGGCTGAAGGCCACTGACACATTCCTCTTATTTCTCCTACACACGGTTCAATGTTTAGCATAGGAGGAAAAAATAGCACTCCACCAACAGCCAGGGGTCATTACATAACGTATCTAAAACAACACAAAGGTAAGGAGAAGCAAAAAGAATTCATGCTAAATATTTAAGGCAGAGAAAAATATATTTGTCCTTCACACAAAAAATGAATACCCATCTTTCTGTACACTATTATCCTATAACAAAGCTTGTTAGAGACTGTAGAGAAAATATTCTTGATCAAGGGCACTATGAGGGAGACTAGGCTACACCATTATCAGCTCAAATAATCTTACAAGGGTTTAAAACATGCCCATAGCTAGGAGGGACAAGGCCCTGTCTATGTCTCAGGGACCAGTCTGAGCACTTCGCTTGAGACTTCCACTCGCCCAATCTGGGTAGAACCACTCACGCAGTCATGCAGGCACTTTATGTCCTTTTCAGCTGTGCCTCCACTGGAGTATACTCCTGAAGGGCTGTCATTAAGGCAGGGAAAGCACTTTGGGAAGGGTGCTTGCCATCTGATCACTTGCTGGGGGCTAGCATACATGTATATGTTTAGTGTTGTAATGCTAGCTTGGCTATTCTGGATATGCTGGCTCTTCCCAGAGTTTGACTGTCACCAGATTCTATTTGTATTTTAACATCTAATAAACTACTCAAGGGGACAACTTAAAGTGCTTGGCTAGTAAACAATATTTAACAGCCATCCTCCTTAACTTCAGTTTATTTCCTTTTACCGGATACTACGCTGGCAGTCATGCACTTTCAATCCTTTCATGGGGAACTTCACAACACGCCTGCCAACAGCACATGAGAACTTTAAATCCAAACAGAATCAGGAAGCCTGATCTGCTCCTGGGGAGGTGGTGATTTATGCTATTACTATGAAACCACAAACCAAATGTCCTGCCAAAGGGAGCAAACAAGCCCCTTTTCTAGATGGAGCTCGCCAACTGTACCCTGATTTCAGGACAGCTAGACTTCTGGGCTGAAATGGGACGGGATGAATCTTAACAGGGCACAGCACTGCCAATTAGAATCTGTTTCCTAACTTTGAGCCCTACAACAGTTGGTTTCCCCCATGGATTGGGATTTAAGCTCCCAGGAGAAAAGCTTAGAGTCCTCAATAGGCTATCAAGTTATCAAGGAATTCCTCCAAGACTAAGTACGTTAATTGATGACCTGTCTGTGCTCTAAGCCCGATGCCAACTCACCACCAGTATTCGCAAAGCTCAGAAGATTGTGGAACAACCATATTCCAACCAGGCATCCACCGCCCTTAATTTGTTACTAATTTTAGCTGCACTGATGTTAAGAACTCAGAGGGGAAATTTCAGCACTCACCAGTTGAGTAGGGGTCGGGCTTATGGTGCCGTGGTGATGGGTGGTGCTGGATGACTTGCTGAGGTTTAGCTGGCTGCGGGAGTGGATGCTGCTGTGGAGGTGGCTGAGGCTGAGGGATATGAGGAGGGAATTGCATGGGCTGCATGTGCATCGGCCTCTGCTGCTGCTGCTGTTGTACTGAGGGATGAGCAGGAGGCTGAAGGGGTGGTTGAGGCTGCGACTGGACCTTCACTGAAGGGAGGAGAGGAGTCTGCGGCTGCACTTTCTGCAGCTGTTGAAGGTAGAGCTGCATCTGGCTGGTGCTCAGAGGCAGGCTGTGATGAGGCGTGGGAGGCTCCTCATCCTCCAGGAGGACCTGGGGAGGCTGAGGCAAAGGCGGCTGGGGGAGCATGGGCTGCTGGCTTATGGCTGGTGACGCTGCTGGAGGACGCGAAGGCTTAGGGGGTAGTGCTGCGGCTCGATTACTGGGTCTCGATGGCTGCTGAGGCAGAGCGTTGTGCAAAGCTGGGGAAGAAGAGCAGGAATACATGGCATCACATACAACAGAAGAAAGAGAGCACAACTCCCCACAGCAAAACTGCACAAGTTGTTCTGCTTATTAGACCGCCCATGTCAAACAGAGGAAAAGATGTGCCATTATATCACACAGAATACCCATGGAATATAAATAAGATCCCATGGCATCTAACCCCGTTTCTTAATCACGTGACCATACGTCCTTCTCTAACACATCAAGTTATCCCCAGACTTGCACAGCCTGGGACCATGTGGTGCCAACTAGGGAACCCAGGGCTGTAGGAAAAACAATGACTTACTGTAACCATGTTTCTTTGAGATGTGACGCAGATGCGTATTCCACTTAGGTGTGTATGTGTGCCCAGAGCACTGGAGCTGGAGAAATTTGCCTAGCAGTACCCGTAGAGGGGCAGTGCTCATGCCTCATGGCTATATGCGGCAGCACCACCCCAACCATCCCTCATTGAAGGCCCAGACATGAGAGACTGACGCAAAGTGGACAGTGGGTCGTAGAATACACACCTGCATCACATCTTGAAAAACCACAAGTACAGTAAGTAACCATTTCTTCTTCTTCAAGTAGATGCAGCTGTGTATTCTATTTTCCACTTAGGTGAATTACAAGGAGTACCACCCCCCTGGAGGTGGGGCTCAGAGTCTACCTAAACAAGGATTGCAGGGCAGCTCTACCAAAGCTTGCTTCTGCCCTGGATGATGTGGTGATGGCGTAATGGTTCGTGAATGTATGTATCAATGATCACGTAGCAGCCCTGGAAAGGTCCAATATGGAAAGATTACTAAGGAACACTCTGGACAATGCTTGCATCCTTGTACAATGAGCTTACACGCACTGAGGAGTGTAGCCAAGTCTATTTCATGTGCTGTCAATGCAGGATGTTACTCATTTGGAGATCTGTGACGAGACCAGTTGACCCTTCATGCAATCTGCATATGGCACAAACAAATGAGGTGAGGCACAAAACAGTTTAGTTCTGTCCAGATAAAAAGGCTAGATATTGCCTGACACCTAAGATATGGAAATGCGGGTCCTCCAGAGATGAATGTGGTTTAGTAAAAAACTCCAGTAAATACATCACCTGGTTCCAATGAAACAGAAACCACTTTACAACCACACCCCACGTTTTTGTCTAAAGTTACCTTGTCTTTGGAGGACTGTATATAAGGAGGTTCTGCCATTGGAGCTTGCAACTCTCACAGTCTCCTTGCTGATCTTATTGCTAACAGGAAAGCGGTTTTCTGACACAAGAGCAAAAAGGGACAAGATAATAGGGGCTACAATGGATGACCCAGCAGAGTTGCCAGGACTGCGTTTAGGTCCGACAAGGGAACTGGCTCTCATAATGGAAGATATAGACAAAGAAGCCCTCTTAAGAATCTCATTACCATGGCACTGGAGAAGACTGATTTTCCCTGAACAGGGGGATGAAGTGCCGGTATCACTGCCAGATGCGCTTTCAATGGACTAAGCCAGTGGTCTTCAACCTATTTACCACTGTGGGCCACATATGCAGGTCTGTGTGTGTTATGTGGGCTGCATCCACACAAAATATATATATATATATATTGTGACAAAGTTCCTCCTCTACCTTGGTGGGTCCTGCACTTATTGGCGGATTTGCTCTCATCACAGATTCACCCTGTGGGTCAGGAAACAGTCCAGAGACCTTCCCCTCTGGTAGAAGCTATAGTCCAGGTCAATTCCTCCTGTGTTTGATCAGGAGTTGGGAGGTTTGGGGGGAACCCGGGCCCGCCCTCTACTCCGGGTTCCAGCCCAGGGCCCTGTGGACTGCAGCTGTTTAGAGTGCCTCCTGGTACAGTTGCACGACACCTACAACTCCCTGGGCTACTTCCCCATGGCCTCCTCCCAACACCTTCTTTGTCCTCACCACCGGACCTTCCTCCTGATGTCTGATAACGCTTGTACTTCTCAGTACTCCAGCAGTACGCCTACTCACTCTCAGCTTCTTGCATACCTCTTGCTCCCAGTTTCTCACACACACTTCCTCTCCTCAGGCTCCCTGGCTCCCCCTGGCTTGACTGGAGTGAGCCCTTTGATAGCATCAGAGGGACTTTAATTAGAGTCAGGTGCTTAACTGCCTCACCTGACTCTTAGCAGGTTAATTGGAGTCAGGTGGTCTATTAGCCTGGAGCAGCCCCTGCTCTGGTCACTCAGGGAACAGAAAACTACTTATCCAGTGGCCAGTATATCTCCCTTCTGCCACTCTGCTGTTCCCAACTGGTCTGGGTCTATCACAATATATATAACCTGTATGGCCCTAAGGATGTCATATGGGCTGCAACTGTGTGCTGATTGGGGCACAAGTGGCCCATGGGTTGAGAACCACTGGACTAAGTGCAAGCCCCCACGTCTAAAGGTGTAGCAGGTACTCCTAGATGTCGTGGGGAGAAGTCAGTTTCGATTGGATTCCACGAGCTAATGACCATACCAAAAAAGGTTTACATTTTGCTGAGTAGGCCATTCTGGTAGAGGACTTTCTACTGTTGAGCAGCACTTGTTCAATAGCCACTGAACACTGCTCTTCCTCCTCATTCAGGCATGCAGAAACCATGCCGTGAGATGCAGAGAGCTGAGCACGTGATGCAAGATGCGTCCGTGATTCTGATTTAGCAGGTTGTGATGGAGAGGAAGCCTCATGGGAGGCTGAATTGACAGCATGAGAAAGTCAGAGAAGCAGCTTTGTCTTGGCCACAATGTGGCACCAAGAATGATCTTGGCCTGAGCCACCTTGAGCTAGAGAATGACCTGAGGAGGATCAGGACCACAGTGAGTTTGGACAGGGAGGCTTGACTGAGGCCCGGTTGAGAGCAGAACAGACGACATTTCCTCTTGTCCCTTGTAGTGAACAGGTCGATCATTGGGATGCCCCAAGCTGTGAAGATAACCCAGAGGACACTTGTTTTCAGGGACCATTTGTGTCTTAGGGAAAAATACTTGCTGAGATAGTCTGAAAGTTATTTTGAACCCCAGGCAAGTGAATGACTATCGGAGTAACATTCTTCTTGATGCAGAACTGCCACAGCCTGATTGCCTCTAGGCAGAGCAATCTGGAGCATGCTCCCCCTTGTTTGTTTACATAACACATCGCGGTGATATTGTCAGTAAGTATGCGAATCACCGAGTCTCTGATATGTTGCCAAAAAGAGTGACATGCATTTTAGATGGCCCAAAGCTCCAGCAAGTTGATATGGAGTGAGGCTTCCTGTGCCGAACACAGTCTCTGTACTTTCAATGACCCCAGGTGCACCCTCCAATCCATCAGGGAGGCTTTGGTAACAACCGGACTTGGTTGGCAAGGGCTGGACAAAGAGAACGCCTTGGCAAACATTCTGTGGACACATCCACCACTGCGAAGAGTCTACGACTAGTGGAGGCAGATGAACCAGTCTGTTTAGAGAATAAAGAGTAGGATGCAAGACTGTCCTGAGCCACATTTAAAGGGGATGGAGGTATAACTTTGCAAACTGGACCACCTGTGTGCAAGCAGACACGTGGCTCAAATCTCAGGCATGGTCTAACTGTCATGGAAGGCTGAGATTTCAGACTGAAGCAAAGATGGCGAATTATCTGAAAACGGTCGGTTAGCAGAAATGGTCCTGATGTCGTGGAATATAACAGGGCCCCAAGTAACTCAATATTCTGAGTGGGAGCCAAGGTTGACTTTCTGGTGTTTAGGGTGAGACCCAGACAGTCAGGCAACCGCAGTGTGGTACTGACATGAGCAAGAACTTCCTCTCTGGATCTGCCCCATAGTAACTAGTTAAGATACAGGAAGATGTGAATTACATTCTTCCTGAGATATGCCATAACAATTGTGCATTTAGTAAAAACCCTGGGGGCAGAAGAGAGGCCAAATGAAGCGCCGTGTACTGAAACTGGCATTCTGCCATGATGAACTGAAGGAATTTTCTGTGACTCGGTATAACTGCACTCCCGGGGGAATTCTGTGCCAAAAATTTACAAATTCTGCACTAAAAAAGAGAAAGTTACTCATCTTGTACAGTAATGTAAGTTCTTTGAGATGTGTCCCCCTATGGATGCACCACTCTAGGTGTTCGGGCACCCCTGCACTCATAATCAGAGATTTATGGTAGCAGTGCCTGGCAGGATCACACATGCGCAGTCCCCGTCTTGCGCTGCTTCAGGTGGTTAATTAGCGCTGTGCGATAAACTCCCCCTCAGTTCCTTCGCTACTGCAGAGCCTAGCAATAACTCTGAAGTAGAGAGGAGGAGCGAGGGTAGTGGAGCACTCACTTGGGGACACATCTCAAAGAACCAACGTTACTGCACAAGGTGAGTAACTTTCTCTTCAAGTGATGTCCCTGGGCGATTTCAGAGCAGTACCCTTCGGAAGGCTTCGGAGTTGAAGTCGTAGCAGACGAAAGCACAGTGAGTCCAAACAGGGCATTGGAGGTTGCCTGTTGTTCTAAAGTGTAATGTTGAGTAAATGTATGGGCTGACACCTAGGTTGTGGTCTTACAGATTTCCGCAATGGGGACACTGTTAAGAAACGCTACAGAGGTCGATAAGGCTCTGGTGGAATGCGTGTGAATCCCCATAGGGCAGTGGTGGGCAACCTTTGGCCCGTCAGGGCTATCTGCTGGCAGGCCGTGCGACAGTTTGTTTACATTGCCCGTCCGCAGGCACAGCCGCCCACAGCTCCCAGTGGCTGCGGGAAGCAGCAGTCAGCATGTCCCTGTGGCCTGTGCCACTTCTCGGAGCTCCCATTGGCCAGGAACAGTGAACCGCGGCCATTGGGAGCTGCAGGTGGCCGTGCCTGTGGATGGTCAGTGTAAACAAACCATCTCGTGGCCCGCCAGCGGATTACCCTGATGGGCCGTTTGTGGCCCACAGGTTGCCCACTACTGCCGTAGGGGGTTGTTGACCACATTGGGAGTAACAGTTTTATGCAATCTGAAATCCATTTGGAGAGACTCTGTGTAGATAT